TATATAGTCATGGGACGTGGAGTACAGTGTGGGAGTGGAGTCAAGGGAATTGTAATACAAATGTAGGATATTGGGGGGAAATGGGGCGGCGGATTGGGGGAGGGGGGTTGTCACTTTGAGGGGTAAAAAGTATAACTATTGCACTGTATTATACACCTGAAACTAATTAAAAAAAAAAAGATTTTATTGGGGAATTGGGGATGGGGAACAGACGAGTTGCTGTCCTTTAGTTCTTCAGTCTAGTTGTGGAGGATGTTGCTTCACTGGCCCATGTTGGTACTGTGATCATTGCGCTCTTCCCGGGTGAGGCAGATCGGTAGCCGGCTATTGGACAGCCACTCACGCCAGCTGCCGGCCGCTCACACTGGCTGCTGGCCACTTGCAGTAGCTTACGGCAGCCCACTGCAGCCACACTGCAGACTACGCCGTCGCCAGCAACTCACGGCAGCCCAGTTCCAGGTCGAGCTGTTGTTCACCATCTTTGCTGTAGAGGGTGCAGCGTCACTGGCCCATGTGGGTGGGATCCAAACTGGTGGCCCTGCTGCTCAGAGCTCACGCGCCAATGCCAACTCCTAACCAAGGAGCCACTCGGCCAGCCCTCCATTGTTTCACTTCTTTTGTGTGTCTGTCTGTTATTTTAGTTTGGTGGTTGTCTGTGATTTTTTTTTCTCCATTTCCTCTACCTTATGTTATGTGTCTCAGTTCTAGATTTTTGTTTCATGGTTATCATTACCTTTATGTAAAAAAATGTCATACATACAATAGTAATTTTTCTTCGATTGCATCTTATCCTCATTCACCTGTGCAAGTTTAGTCCTTTTCCTCTTCCCCTTTTATGTTTTGTTTGTTTTTTTTGTCACAAATTATCCATTTTGGTATTGTGTATTCATTTCCAAATTGCAGAAATTATAATCTTTTAAAAATGATTTTTCGCCCTCTTTCAACTTTATGCTATAATTAAGTGATTATAGAGTTACAGTTTCCTGTTTCTGTCTGTCATCTTATTCAAGTTTTATATACTTTTGGTTTCAGGTAGAAGAGCTTCTTTCAATATTTCTTGTAATTCAGGCCTTGTGGTGGTAAATTCCCTTAGCTTTTGTTTGTCTGGGACAGCCTTTATTTCTAATTCATATCTAAATGATAACTGCTGGATATATTATTCTTGGCTGGTGGTTTCCTTTTTTCAATATTTTGAATATTTAATCCCACTCTCCTGGCTTGTAAGGTGTCTGCTGAAAAAATCTGACGATAATTTAATGAGGTTTCCTTTGAAAGTTACAGTCTTTTCTACTGGTTGCTTTGAGAATTCTTTCTTTGTTAACTTTGAAAATTTTAATATAATGTGTGTTGGAGAAGGTTTTTTTGCATTGAGATAATTAGGTGTTCTGTTAGCTTCTTGAATTCGAGGGTCCAATTCTTTCCATAGGTTTGGGAAGTTCTCATCAATTATTTATTTGAATAGGCTATTCCCTTCTTCCTTTCTTCTCCTTCTGGTATACCCATTATCTGTATGCTTCTCTTTCTAATGGAGTCAGATAGTTCTCATGGAGTCCTTTCATTTTTTTTAACTCTTAGTTCTCTCTCTTCCTCCTGAGTCATTGCTAGGTTTCTATCTTCAAGCTTGGTAATCCTTTCTTCTATCTGGTCTGCTCTCTTTCCAATGCCCTCTAATGCATTCCTTATCTCATTTATTGAGTTCTTCAGCTCCAGAATTTCTGATTAGTTTCTTTTTATAGTTTCAGTCTCTTTGGTAAAGTACTCCTTTTGTTCATTAGTTTTCTTCCTGAGTTCATTGAACTGCCTTTATGAGTTCTCTTGTATTTCATTGAGCTTCAAAACTGCAATCTTAAATTCTCTGTCATTTATATCACAGTCTTCCATGACTTTGAGATTGGTTTCTGGAAACTTTTCATTTTCTTTCTGTGCTCCCTGTTACCTTGGTTGTTCATGGTATTTGATGGATTGTTTTTCTGCCTGCAGACAAAGTAGTCTGATTGAGGTATTGAGCTCTTTTCTTGTTTAAATACTGTTTTGCTCTCAACAATTCAGAGGTTGATATGTAGGGCCCTTTTTTTGTTTTCCAGTGTATGGTATTATAGTGCAAGTTGTTGTTTTCTCTTACCTATTTGCACCTCTGGGATTGCAGTGGAGCAGCAGCACTTTGATTAAGGAAAATGCTGCATATCCAGTGGGATGGGGGGGTGTCCCCGCTGTACCAGCTCACCATGCTTATGGAGTACTACCACTGTGGTGGGGGTATGTGGTAGTTAGTGGAGAACTAGTTTTTTGAGCTCCCAGCACTATCTCCTATTTACTAATGGTTGCTGGCCCCACTGTGTTTCGGAGGTGTCTCCACTGCCTCTACGAAGCTCTGCCAGGATGGGTGGGGGAGGGGAGGCAAGTTGATGATTTTGCAGCCCTGCTGTACTGTTTAAGGCAGCTCAGTTTTCTCTATTTGGCTCTGTCAGGGTTGGTGGCGCTATGGAGGCAAGTTCCAGATCCTTCTGCTCCACCCCCTTTCTAGTAATGGCTGTCAGTAGAGCTGTGTTGTTTTAAGTTTCCCAGTGACCTCTACTTGGGTCTGCTGCAATGGGGAGGGGAAAAGGGAGATGCCTTTCCTTGGGGGACCACTGCTTCTGCCCCGCTTACGCTACAGGCCATAATGTGAGTGCTGCAGCCTGATTTCTCCACTGCTACTGCACTCACTGGGGCCTCAGTTGGTGCCGAGCTGCATCTATGGCAACTGTCCCTGTTCTTCCCTGTTCTGTTTCCCCTACTCATTCCAAGCCACCCACCTTCAGATGTTCCAATGCATGGATCTTTTGGGCATGTGTGTGTGTTGTGCAGGGGGTCCTCTGTTGAGTTATAGTTGTAAATTTAAGGAACTTGTACATTTCAGGAGAGGAACAAAGGAGACTTCTCACTCTGCCATGATGCTTACATCACTTTCATAGTTTGACTTTTAAGTTTATTTGTTAAACAATATATCAGGCCACAAAATAGGCAATGACATTTGGGATGCTTATATTTTAAAATGGGTTTGGTTTAGAAAAAAGGAAGAACTCTGCAAATCAATAAGTAAAAGATAAACACAAATGGCAAAAAGTTAAAATTGTTATAAGGTTAAATCTAAATGTCTAACAAAAATATGAAAAATGTTTAACCTCATAATTAATCAGTGAAAGGAAAATTAAAACCTGAAATTATTAGACACCATAAGACTGGCAAAAAAAGGGAAAAGTCTATGGAATAATAGGCAAAAAGGTATGGAAAGTTGAACCTCAGATAGTCCTAGTAGAATATATACTCAATAAGAGATGAATTTGGTGATATTTAATAAACCTCAGTGTAATTTCACTTCTGATAACATACTTTTGGGGTTGTCTGCTAGAAGTGTGACGGTTAGATGCCATAGGATGTTCAGTCTAGAAAACCCTTTCCTGGGATCTAGGGGTTGCAGAAGAAACTTTACTAGGCTGGGGTTTGGGGGTATAGGAGTCCAGTGAGCTGTTCTGAAAGGGCCTATCTTAAAAATAAAAAATGATAAGGTGTATATAGCTTGTTTACTGCTTATTGCCAATTCAAACATGGTGTTCCTTTGATGGATGGGTTGGTTAAAAGCCCATTTGTTCAGCAAATACCTCCACTGCATACAGTTTATACAGCACGCTTTTCTCACATTACTCCAACAGCCCTGCACTTACAGTGAGTCTGTATGTATAAGATGATAAAGTACACGATGGAACAAGGAGTCCTGCCAAAGATGAGAAACTGGGGAAATTCCACAATCTAGGAATACTGCCTTTAAAGGAAAAACCTCTTTTCATTTGACTTCTATTTTGACACACTTGGTCTGGAGAATTCCATAGGAATTTTATTATTATTATTATTATTATTATTATTATTATTATTATTATCATCATTATTTTACTTATAGTGGCAGCTAGTTTTTAAGGTCACAAATTTCCTGAGTTTAAATTCAGACGCTGCTACTTACTGACTATATAATCTTGGATCAGTTGTATAACGTGTCTCTGCCTCAGTTTTCTTCCTCAGCAAATGGGAATAATAACAATATTTATCTCAATGGCTGTGTGATCAAGTGAGTTATATCTGTAAAATACTGTAGTAGGATGAATCATGGCTCCCTAAGATATCTGGTCATAATCCCTGGAACCTGTAAATGTGACCTTATATGGTAAAAAGCATCTTTGCAGATGGGATTAAGCTAAGAATCTTGATATGGGGAGATTATCCAGGTGGACTCTAAATGCAATCACATGTATCCATATAAAAGGGAGGCAGAGGGAGATATGACCACAGACAGACATAGGAGAAGGTGATGCATAGATGGAGGCAGAGGTTGGAATGATGTGATCACAAAGCAAAGAATGCCAGCAGCCACCAGAAGCTGGAAGAGGCAAGGAACAGATTCTCCTCTGGAGTTTCTAGAGGGAGTGTGGCTCCACTGACATTTTAATTTGGGCCCAATGATACTGATTTCAGACTTCTGGCCTCTAGGACTGGGAGAGAATAACCTTTGGTTGTTTTAAGTTGCCTAGTTTGTGGCAATTTGTTAAAGAAGGCACAGGAAATGAATACACATACTTAGATCATGTTTGTAACATGCTAAGCATTATAAAACGTGTTTATTAATATGCAAAGAAAATAGCCAGAAGTTTACACTCTGAAATACTGTGACCTAGGCAGCTCAAGGATCACTAACTGTATTTTCAGGGAATTAGTTTGTGTCTGAGTACAGAAGGGGGTTCCAGACAGAAGCGTATACTGAGAAGGGAAGTGAATAGAACATGCCATTTGTCAGTCCACTTTCCACCAGCTCAACTTTTAATCATATGCAACAAGGGAGAAGGGACCCCTGTAGCCTCAGAGGGAGGCAGTGGCCATATTCCAAAGCCTCTTCTTTTTGCTTAAACAAGAGGATGTCTTATTTATAGTCCAGGCAGCAAAATCACCTGAAAGGGTATGTGAGGTATTTGTGAAAGCCTTGAAAGCAGTGGTTCTAAACAGTATCTGGAGCTAAAATTTGCTTCCCAAAGTAGATGCTGACATCAAAGTGATATTAATTCCCCCCAAATGATAAGAAACTCATGTAAGAGAAGGTGGTCTACTACAGTGACTACGAACTTTTGGAGTCAGGTAAACATGTCCCTTACTGAGTCCCTGCTCTGCAGGGACAAGTTACATGAGCCCAAGCCCCATTTCACCTCTTGGGGCATGTTTTCTTGGTAAACTGTAGGGACTTTGGGGAAAGGGAGAGAGAAAACATTGCCTCATTGGATTATTGTATGAATTAAATTAAGTAATACACATAAAGTGCGTATTCTTTGACCTGGTGAGCAATAAATATTCAATACAGAGAGTCCAGAAAAAGTGAGGCTGAAATACAAATTCATTAAAAAACATGGAGGATTAACTAGGTAATTGGTTTAAATAAAGCTCAGGGAAAGTAAAAAAATTTGTGCACATAAAGTCCCATTAGGTTTTTTTGGTTTGTTTTAGCTCCAAATATTTTTTCTTTACTCTCTAAAGCTGAAAAATTCAGTAGCACAATGTTTGGGGGTATCATGTTAGGATTGGAAAGGTTGTTCCTAAAAAGCAATAGGAGATAGTCCAATTTTTTAATAAATTTAAATTGGGGAAATATCCTGCCTACCAAAGTAGATGCTGGCATCAGAGTAGTATTAATTATAGAAATCTTCTTTTTGCCAAGTTTTAAGCTCCAGAGAGGAGGTTATGAGAAATCACTTAAACTTGTCACAGCTAAATTTTAAAATTTAATGGAGATGAAAGAACTGACAATATCAAGTAGCCACAGAGGCCACACAGACATGTATTACCTGAGTGGAGAAAGCACAAGGTCTCCCTGTCTGCTTCACTCGCAATGCTCACGTGTTGAAAAACATCCCAAGATTGCGAGTTAAGTAATGGAGTGGGAGCTGGGATAATTGCCACCTGCTGCCTTCACTAAGCAAAGTCCAAGATGGAAAGCTGAATTTGGCTAACTTTGTGATAGTTTATAGCTCTTCTTCTTCTTTTTCTCCTCCTCCTCCTCCCCCTCTTTCTTCTTTTTTCCCCCCCACTAGAAGCCATTACTTCCTCCTTCCCTAGTACCTATTTTAAGTCTAAGGGTGGCCCACTTCTGGCCAATGACATTCCCGGAGAAGTTTGCTCAAGGGTTTCTGGAAAGATATATTCTTCTTCAATAATGGCAAAGGAAGCTAAGAAATGTCTCTCCCTTGTGCTGTCCTTGCTTCCAGCCACTGAATACAGTTGTGTGATGCTTGGAACTGCAGCATCTATCATGGGACAGTGAAAGGAAGAGTAAGAGAATCAGAGAGACACAGACCTGAAACTATGACATGGTTGAGCTGCTGCCCCCATTGCAGCCACCACCCTCCTCAGGACTTCTAGTTACATGCAAATGTAAACTATTTGCCAAGTATTCTGTTTCTTGCAAGTAAAAGTATTTGTAACTGATAAACAATATATACAAGTAAATTTAGATTGTCAATAATTTAGGTTCTGCGACCTTGGAGCACACTAAGATGTTAAAGACAGTTGGCCCTCTGTATCCACATTCTATGAATTCAACCAACTGTGGATCAAAAATATGCGAAAAATGTTACCTTGTTGCTGGCATGTACTATGTAGTTAGGCTTACGGTGGTTGAATCTGTACTGAACATGTACAGACTTTTTTCTTGTCATTATTCCCTAAATAATACAGTATAACAATTATTTACATAGCATTTACATTGTATTAGGTATTATAAGTAATCTAGGGATGATTTAAAGTATACTGAAGCATGTGCTGTAGGTTATATGTAAATATTATGCCATTTTATATAAGGGCCTTGAGCATCTGTGGATTTCGGTATCCACAGGGGTCCTGAAAGCAATCCCTGTGGGTACTGAGGGATGACTGTATGTCACATCTTTGGGGAGAGGGTGGGAACTGACTTCAAGTTACTCAACAGAGAAGAAAAAGAATGGTAAGGAAAAAGATAAATCAAATTTAATTGTTCACTGATTTGTTCAAGTATTTATGACTTTGTATTATTTGACAGGTACTGTGCTACTGGGAATACTTTGATGAGAGGTAGACAAGGTCTCTGCCTTCATGCAGTGTAGATACTTCATAAATAATCTTATTAAAAAGATGAATACCAAATGGCTGGATAAATTTTGGAGACAGTGGGAATTTGGGGTTTAGGAAAGAGTTTACAATTTTGC